TCTTTTACCTCAATTTTACGTATTTCAGCCTCAAGAACAACCCATATAGGCAGTAGCTATTCCCCACTACTCAGTCATATCTAATATCCTTCAGTTTGCTGCGTTTAACCACAGCAATGACCCTTCCGTCCCGTATGAGCAACGTAGGTTCAGAGCTGGAGAAGACGTTACCACGGCAGGTAAGTTGGAGTTGTTCTATCCCATCTGTATAGCGTGAACTAAGCCTCAATGTCATCCAGTTCTTCCGTTTTTCCGTAAGACGCTCTGAAGTTGTCTTCCCATTCCCTCCTGACGGCAATTTCTCCTAGATATTTACGGACTCGTGGTCAATCTTCATGTTTCACTGTTTTCTGGTGTATGGCAGCTTCTCCGATATCCTCGTGCAAAGAACCTTCTTACTGAACCACTCCCCGTGATCACAGCTCGGAATCGTCGTGTTCCCCAAATTTAGCTGGGTCGATTTTCTGGAAAGCATCGTGAAATACAGGATCACACATATGTTGTATGTATTCGGTCATCACTCGTAGGCCCGGGACGCTGAGATAGTACCTAGCATTGTACCTCCTCAGGTCGTGCTTTTTGTCAAGGTGAGTACCTGATTCATCTCCAACTCTGTTCATGTCTCATTTGGCGTGGGTAGCATCCGGCGACGAAGAAGTATGACCTCTCTAGGCTTCGATACTGCATGGCTGGAGCTGCCCCTCTGTCCCCCGAGTTGACTGTGCAATTCCAAAAAGTTGTTCCGAACTGCTTCGTTGGTCAGGGATATGATAAGTCAACTCTATATGGCTTTCTCGTGTCGCCCTGTACTGAACTGCCTTTATCTTTTCTGCGTGATTACGGATGACAGAGACCTGTAAGTCTAGAGCTTAATGGGCTCTTATTCGGTATATTAACAAAGGCTTTTCAGCCACTGTGCTTACAATGCCACCGATCTGGCAACAGCAAGGGACCCTCGGTTCCGCTGGCCAGCTTGTCAGTGGAACGGAGGCGAAAGTCGTTAAGCCCGACGGCACTCTGGGCGGAGTGGGCGAAGCGGGAGAATTGTGGGTTCGAGGACCTCAAGGCTTATACAATAAATATTTGAATAACGACGAAGCGTGAGTGCTTTTACCAAAAGTGAAACTGCATTCAGTTTCCTTATTTGCTTTTTTTCTATTAGAAACGCAGAGACATTTGTGGACGGCTGGGTCAGGACAGGGGACGAAGTCAAGTTTGAGGAAAATGGCGATATGTTCATTATCGACCGCCTCAAGGTGAGTATTTGATTAACTAGATGCAAACAAGATATTTGATTTGTGTATTCATCTATTTAGGAGCTAATCAAGTGCCGTGGTTTCCAAGTCGCACCAGCTGAACTCGAAGGTCACCTCTTGGATCATCCGGACTGTGGTGACGTGGGTGTCGTAGGCATACCAGATGACTATAGTGGGGAGGTTCCCATGGCCTTCGTGGCTCTGTCACAAGATGCGTTGAGGAGGTTGCAAAAAGATCCCAAGGAAGCGGAACTCATAAAGGCATCGATCAAGAAGGTGAATACTATCCCTATTGTGCTCCTCATCGCACGGCTATGTGACTTAATATCAATAAACCCCTTAGCATGTATCCGATAGCAAGATCAGATATAAATGGTTAGATGGAGGGGTGGAATTTATAGATTCAATCCCGAAGAACCCTAGCGGAAAACTCTTGGTGAGCGCCAAACAAAGGGTCGATTTTGCATTAATCTTATTACTGATCCGTCCCAAATGTGACAGCGACGATTTTTGCGGGATCGGGCAAAGGTTATTCTGAAAGACCGTAAGGCAAACCAGACTCCTGTGCGAGCCAAACTGTAGATTACTTCCAAATTAGGAAGGTTGCTCTATCACACCCTTGCTGTTCCCATGTCATGCGTGACGCCCTATATGTATATATTGGGTATATAAGTCTGAGTCTGTTCCTAGGTTCTACCTAAGGTCTAGATCTTAAACCCAAACTTAATTAGATACACAGGAAATTGCGCAAGCGAGAACACACACGCGCCACAATCATGCATGCTTTGGCCATGCTCACTACTGTTTCCGATATCAGATATTGTTACACCTTGAGAGCTTTAACGGTACGACCAGATGCTATTGCTACCCATTCACCTGGGGCGGTTGTGATTCCACCGGGTAGACTCATGGCTCCCATAGGTGGTGACCAGGCGAGGTTGTTAATCTCCCCATTAGACGAGTATGACAAGATAGGATCCGTAAGCGAGCGAACTGAGCCATCAGGACGTGGTGAAGATGAGATTCCCGGGCTCCGCACGGGTTGTCGAGGCGATATATGAGAATTTACGAGGTCCCAGATGAGCAATTGATTGTCATCACCTGTCCAAAAAAATTAGCCAAAATTCCTCATGAAACCATGAAAGTCCCACCTGCACTCGCTAGCACACTGCCTTCAGCTGAGCCCCATCCAATTGCTTGAACAGGTGCTTTATGGCCTTTTAGTTCAAGTACAGGGCGTCCAGGATTCCTCATGTCCAGGATCTGTATATCCGGGGAATCGCTGTGAAATGTCGCTATGGAGTTTGGATCGAGAGGATTGAAGGATATTCGGAGCAACGGCGATGACTGCCGTCCGGCAGATGGGGTAGATGACTGGTTTCTGTATGCATGGGCCTCATACAAGATGGTGGAATGTTCCAAGCTTCGCAAATCAAAAGCTCGGAGACTTCCGTCTGCCCCTACTGAGACAAAGCTATCGGTAGAGCCAGGAACCCAGGCGACATCGAAAACTTCTCTGTCATGTGCAATCAGCTGAGTAACCGCACTGCTCGCCGAGATATCCCAAACAGTACAGGTTGTATCGATAGAAGATGTCACGATGAGTGCCGGTGCGATAGTGTTCCATGAGAAGCTCGTGAGGGGTGCCGAAGTAGGATTCGGGTTTTTAGACTGCTAGGTAGATATTATAAGCAACCAATGTCGAGAAGATCAGGGTAGATCAAAAGAAACGCCAAAGCTCTGCAACGTACGCTCGATAAAGCAATTTTCTGAGTAAGCCGACCTGTAGGTGGCTGAGTCGACCTCCCAACAAACGAGGTGGGCTTGACATCGGAATTAGGATCAGCAAAGTATTCCCATATTCGCAACGCATCGCCGGTGCTTGTGAGCAGCTCAGTTGAAGATGCTTTCCATGCCTGAGTAAGGGTCGAGGCAGGTTCCCAGGCCACCTTTGTGATAGGATATCCGTGCATGGCTTCAGCAAGGACTACAAAGTCTTGCGGTTGAGTGTATCCTTCACCATAATTTTCATCCTCGAATCCGCTAGGATCAAGAAGTAATCTTTCGTCAGCAAGCCCAATGACAGAAATCCTATTGCGATAATCTTCTGTAAAGGAACCCAACGCAAGGCGGAAGCCCGAGCGGATTCGTTGGGCCCCCATGCCAGATGTCTTGCACCAATCAAGGGTGAAGACAGGCCCTACGCCAGATATCAGCCATTGAAACACGACTCTAGTATTCTAAGCATACAGGGTGCATCATAATGAAGTACTGTGCTCAAAGGCATTTTGAAAAGGTTGCGGCTGGTGAGGTAGGTTCAGTCCACCAGGAAACCGAACATTCATATCGCCAAACATGTCCAAAGTGCTAGTTGATATCCATCCCCATATCCTCTGTCCCGATGTTCTCCAGATATTCTAGGCAACGATTGCCCTTCTTAGTGGGATCAAAACGGTTTATTCAGGTCTTGGATCGTAAAGTGTCAGGTTCTGCATCCTAAGCAATACGATCCCTTATGCACAAATTGCTCATGTCTCGTCAGGGCCAAGAGATGAGGAAGATGAATGCTCAGTTCTTCACTGATGTGGAAGCTGAGCTCTTGGTTGTCCCGAACTGATTTTCAATGGCGAATGTCTGCTGCTGATCAAGGGCAAAGACAGCCCTGATACCTCAAACGAGCTTCTTCGGGGCATACAACATATCAAAAGTATAGAATAAAGTATTTAGTAGCATTTGTAATGGTAGCGGTAGATGCGTCGGGAAGCCGAGCGTAGGAAGTTTGCCCAAAATCTACGGCAGCTGATCACCCAAGCATTTTTAATACAACAATCAATTCCCATCTACAATATATATCAAGAACAAGCATCCTTCGTAGACGTAGAATCTAAGCCTTGTAAAAGCTGTACGTCGATTCGTGTCAAGTTTCCTGTCCCTAAGAAGAAAAATCTTAGCACAAAATTCCCCATGATCAACCATGCATTCTTAATACAACAATCAACTCCTCCACAACATAGATCAAGAACAACAGATTAGTGTTCTTTGCAGTAGAATGTGGACCCTTTAACATGTTGTACCTCGAGGAGACTGCAGGCACACACTATGAGCCATACGTATCACCCACCACATTACCGAAAGATCCAAACACTCATGAAACCTTCATAGTAACTTTGCAATTGTCAGTTCTGACCTCTTGCAATGATTCGCAACTCTCAATCGCATCATTCCCATCTTAGATACGTCCCAAAGAAGGAACCTTGTACCTAGGACACAGTCTTGAGCCTAGGAGGCCCACAAGCGGACAATGAACTGATTTAAAAAAATCCATCTACAACATAGATCATAGATTAAATGTTCTTTGAAGTAGAATATGGACCCTTAAACATGTTTGTCGCTCGATTTGTGTCAAACTTCTTCCTCTCCCAAAGTAAAACAACGATTCCTAGGGCAAAATTCCCCGTACTTAACGACAGAGTATCAAGAAAGCAAAAGAACTGGACGAGGTGGGAATTGAACCCACGGCTTCCTCAAGATTACGTAAGCAAATTACGTAAGCTTAGCTAATCCTGCGAATGAGGCACGCTACCACTGCGTTACACGCCCGGCATTGAGACGTTCCACTCTCAATGATGATAGCTAATACGAATAGTTGCTGTCACAGCGTCAAATTTACCTATATATCCTCTTCTTCAGATACTTCCTCATGCTCCTGTGCATCCTCCATATCAATCAAGTCGCCGTCGTCTGCAGCTTCTTTCGTGTTGCCGGCTTTGGCTTCTTGCTTGGTATACAAATCAGCCAAGAAGTCAGGACCCGTGGCATTTTCAATCGACTTGTCATCCCGTATTCGAATGAACCGAGGAAAACGGATACTAGTAATGGCGTGATCAGGTCGCTTTATGCATGGTTCTTCCATGGGCTAACCTTAAACCTCGTTTATCCGATATCAACCCCAAGGCGGCTGTGGACCGCGGACTGAGTGTAATATCCGCCCCGCGAAGCTCCCATACTTCACTAGGCTTGAAGAAAACTGATGGTATCAGGCCTGGGGATACGTTGCTGCTTAGCACTAGAAACTGAAACAAAGTTTTGACACACCTCCAAAGTCACAATTGACTTTTTTGAATGGCTGTTTAGAACAGGTTTCTGATCCCACTTGATAACGCTCTGCCATGGCCTGGAGGGAGTGGTATCAGGGAGTTGTGATTACGTGATAGTAGTAGACGAACTTGGTAGAACGCATCTGTAAATCCGGACATGCACTGCGGTGAAATCAATGTCATTAGAACTAGGACTGCGAGGTCAGGAGTTGACCCACCTTGCAGACGGCCACCAGACTATCGCTCCCAGAGTCCCATATTGCAAGCAAAACGGGACTCCACCATTTAGCCTTCCGGCCATTACCATGCCAGGCACCTACAGGAACAAGATCGAACGAGTCTCCCAATCCATTAACGTAATCTTTCTTCAGTTTAAGCCACGCCGACGTTCGCTTGTCTGGGACCGGTGGGTGATGCGGTTTGAGCAGTAGTATATGAGTTACTTACCGGGTTCATACGTTGCAGGTAGCGGCTTTCTTGCCTTTCCTTTTCCCTTCTTTTGAGCAACATTTCCCGTGTCCGCAGGAACGACTACGGTGCTGCCGTCTTCTTCCTCAAGGACCTCCCCGCTATCCAGCAACTGCAGTCTCACACCTGTGAGTCTAGTCACTTTGTGAAGTGGGCATAGCACACCTTGATCATAAGACCTTCCGACTTCTCCTCGACAGACTTCTGGAAGAACTCTTCAATGGCCTCTCGTCCATCCTCTCCCTCGCAGCTCTCTACGTGACGAAGTCTCGCTGTCCACCTATCCTCTGGGAGCAATGGTGGAAACATGGTCCTAAGAAGAGACCTCCGCCCTCGAAAAGGTTCTTCAAGTAGGATCTGGGGAAAGCAGCTATCAGAAGGCAGTCTCAGGGCTGGCATAATCGATAGAGCTACCTGCGCATTGAAGTACATCAGGTCAAAAACGTATAAGCAAACTGCGACTTTGACATCTTGAAGATGAACATCCTTGCGCGGTCGGTTGGAAAGCTCCTGGAATGATTTCACGTTGCCCGAACTAGGATCAATGGCAACAATCTCCGAGTCAATGATGAACGATTCAATGTTTGGCGACTGCTTGAATATTAGCTGGACGAGCGCAGTAACGTCTGGATACTATGAATACAGCTTAGTCTGCCGTCCAATCGATGGAGGCTATGGGCTTACCTTTTCTGTCATGTCTTCAAGGTGGCGGCTGAAAAGTTTGACTTTAATGTCGCCATTGTCCGACCTTGAAGCGTGCACCTGTGCCCGTTGTCCATCATATTTGAACTCTGCCGTGAATGCAAGTTCTCCTAGGCGTTCATATATCTCGTCAAGGGAACGAGTGGGAGATCCCAGGGTCGGATGAAGTGGTATACCTGGGAATGATTGAGGCAATGACGAGTTCAGAGGATGAAATCAACGTACCTACAGTCAGCGGCACCGTTTCTTGTAGATTCTCCAGTCCAAATGACAATATAGCCTCCACCATATGGCCATAATCCGGATGCTGTACATAAACCTTCTTTAATAAACCTTCGGCGTTGAGGAAGAGCTCCTTTATGGCATCCCTCGCCTCGTCCGCATATCCCTTGATCTTTTTCACTGGTAGTGGTTGAACTTGAGCCAATACTTCAGCCTCTGCGTGATAGGGTGATCCCTGTGGTGGCTTAGGACATGGCTGCGGAGGCCGAGTAAGCACCAGCGCCCTTGCCAAAGCCGTGAGCATCGTTGTTCGAACGGCTCCGACGCGTAAATGCTGGGCAAACGTCCTGACCAGGTACCGTGCCTCTTCGCCCCTTGCAGCCACCAGGAGTTTCTCCACGATCGCCTGCTTTTGCTTAGCCGCGCCATTGCCCTTGGACGTCGCTATCTTCATCAATGAGGTATATACGCCAGTGATGAGTAGTGGCGGATGAGGTATCAATGTCCTCACGGATGATTTCGCCTCAAATGCAACATCTCCAGGATCCCCCAGGCTCGTGTAGAGCTTTCTGAGCGCGGCAGAAGATAACCCAGAAACTGACTGAAGAGCTTTCGTGATGATGCTGGGCCCAATATTCAACTCCAAAGGGCTATATGGAGGAGTCAAAGAATTGGACAAGAGATAGAGCGCTGGGAGAAGGGATTGAGGGTCGTGCTTGATCAGGAAACGTAAGGTATTAGTCATAATATTGACCAATAAAATCCGAGAGCGCGTCTGGGACAAAGACACAAAGGCATGTGTAAGAAAAGAGTAAGGTGCGGATTTCGCATATTGCCATGGACAGTTATCCACCGAGAGCAATAGGCAGTCTTGAGTAATATCAGGGTAATCGGGAATTACAGTGTTTGTGGCAGACTCCGCGGTGTTCTTTATACCGTATACCTGTTTGGGACGAGGCTTTGATGGGGAAGATAACGGTAGGTTGGCGCCACCCGCTCCAGCCTCCGACGCAATAGATGAATTACCGTCGGCATTAACAAGTTTCCTCTCCTCCTCCACCTTAGGTTGCGTAGTAACAGGCTCGTCCTCCTCATCCACGTCAATAATCTCAATAATCTCCTCTATTTCTAGTGTAGCCTTGGTCTCTTTTGTACCAGAAGATCCAGAAGCTTTCGTGGGTGACTTGAAAAAGCTATCTAACTTCTTTTGTCCTTCGTTTGACTGCTGTAACCTCGCCTTCTTGGACAACTTGGTTGGCGACGCAGTTGATGGACGCTTAGCTGGAGGCATCTCGAGCGTTGGGATGGTCAACAAACCGTAAGGTTAAGACGCTAACCGTTTTACCAACCTTTGCATCATCGGAATCGGCTTTTCAAAAACACTTATCACGTGACGACTGCTAACCATCGAGTCTAACGGGGAGCCTTCCATATCCCCTTACTTTCCACCAAAATGGATATCCGGTCTAACCACATACGCTCTGGAGATACCGACACTAGTGCAATCTCCCCTTCCAACTTGAACCACTTCTTTAAGGCTTGGGGCCGCGGTTATACCAATACCCAACGTCTCGCTCCCGCAACCACCTCAGCCCGCCCGTTCTCAGTTTAGGCGGGACTTCGATCGGTCAGAAGGAGTTCGATTTCAGGGCCGACGTTGGTGAGTCTCTAACGTTCTTCTCGCATCATGCCGGTGGCACAAAAGCCTTTTTTGACTGGGTCGATATTCGATTTTCTTTTCAATGGCTTGCTAGCAGCCAGACTCGGTGAGTATCACGTGGTTGGGGCTTTTTTGTAAGCCTCCGAGCAAGCCTCTGGGAATCAGACACACAGTAATGAAGATGCATATGTGTATTGTCCAAGAAAAGTAGTAATTGACAGCTGAGATAGCATGGTAGAAATTCCGTGGAATCAAACAAAGACCATCTAGTTGAATTAGCCAAAACCCGATTATTGAATGATTGGAAGAAATGCACAGTCCCGTAATGACTGGCTTCGAAATAGAAGGTACAAAAACAAAATCTATGAGAATCAAAAGCGCAGATAGTCAATCTTCAGTGTCACTGTCGCACTCGGCTTCTTCAACACTTCTGTTGATCCATTCCTTGAGCCAATGCCCAGCAACTTCTATGTTGAATTTATTGCTCTTCAAGAGTGCACTGCCCACGATAGCAGCACATTCGTCAGCCTTACCAAATCCTCCAAGACAACCGCGGCGATATTCATCTGCTGGCAGACCAAGGTAACCAGAAACGCAGCAGGTCGAATCCTGAGGTTGAGCTAGCATGGCCTTCTCTGACGACGGATTGGTAACAACCGCCGATGAAGTCGTTACTCCTACTCTAAGGATAATCGGCAAAACTCCAAGCATGGGAGTCAACCGTGTCTTCTCCATCAATTTGTCCACTTGGATTTCTGCCCTTCCAGATTCCTTCTCGCTCTTGGGAGGCTTGATGGTGAGAGCATCAACGAGATATTCAATCACACATACAAAGCCATCCATCTTTTCCAATGCTTCATCGACAGCCTCGTTCGCGATGCCAGCTTGTGGCTTTGGAAGCTTCTTCAGCACCTCGCTCAGCTCTCGGCTATCCTTGGAAAGAACTCGGAGAGCAGGTAGGTGTGGATGAGGAAAGCTTGGCCCACGAGTGAATTGGAGAGCATCTACCGGTGGCTTTCCAGTTACAGGGGACGATGTCGCCGATGAAGCCGAGGCGCCCGCTTCGCTAGTGGGTTGAGGTGATGCAGCTCTCGCTGGATGCATGGACATTACTGACAAAGAAGGCAATTTGGCCAAGGAAAATTTATTGGTCGAAGGTGGGGTAGGTAGACGGGCCGGATTAACCGCGGTGTTAGACTTGCTGGAAGCACCCATAGTAAGTCCAAGACCGAGAGAGATTCCGCTTGAAGCCTTCTTTTCTTTCATACTGGAAGGTGTCAAATTCGGTGGATTACGAATGGGTTGGACTTGTGGGGTGTCAGGAGGAGTTACGTAAGAAGGCAGCTGACCTCCTCCGTATTCGCCTGAAGAAGTGGACGAATTGGAGAGAAGGGATCCTTTGCTGGAGCGCCTGGCAAGTTCGCCTGCGCTGCTACTGCGGATCATGGGTG